TACTCGCCTTTAATGCATATAGTACTCACCTTTACTGAATATAGTACTCGCCTTTACTGTATATAGTACTCGCCTTTACTGTATATAGTACTCGCCTTTACTGAATATAGTACTCGCCTTTAATGCATATAGTACTCACCTTTACTGAATATAGTACTCGCCTTTACCTGTATATAGTACTCGCCTTTACTGAATATAGTACTCGCCTCGCATTTCTCGTTTATTTTATTATTACTACTATTCAAGTACCTTTATTTTATACAAAGCCTCCTGATGGCTCAGCGGCAAGTCTCTGGGCATATAACTGCTAAATGTCGGGATTCGATACCCGTAGTTGGCATTGCACAGATAGCCCATTGTGTAATTTTGTGCTTTACAACAAACAAACAAAATCTTTACGCAAAAATGTACAACTGGAATACAACTGGATGTACATAGTAAAAAAGGAAGACATTAAACATGTGATTATCTTTCATTAATGCCAAACATTTCTATATGCAAATGACAAAGATTATCTCAACAGTAATTAAAGGTATTCAAATATCGGTTTGGCGGCCATTTTATATTTATGGATTTTCATCCAATAAACGTATTTTTCCGTTTGATAAGATATGTTACCAACTTTTACCCCGAAGTGCTCAAACAAGTTTGCTTCTTTTTTTTTTCAATGTCCGCCTAGTCTACTATATCTATAAAGAAGTTAAAAGAGTTAATAATACAAAAATAATTCTGACCAGGTACATGCCAGACACAAGGCTTTCTCGGAAAAATATAAAATAAGTTTATTTTTATTGTTGACGTGTCACTTTACTACATCTTTATGGTAAAGCTCCCCCAGTGGCACAGCGGTATGTATGCGGACTTACAACGCTAGAATCTGGGTTTCGATACCCGTGGTGGGCAGAGCACAGATAGCCCATTATGTAGCTTTGTGTTTAATTACAAACAAACAAATCTTTATGGTAAGCTCTTACATTTCAGGGTAGTTCAGTATGAGATTATTATATATACAAACAATTATAAAAACCTCATTCACCATTCCTATTAATAATATTAACAATGTGTATAATAACAAATAAAATAAGGTGTTCCATGCAGTTCTTTAAGTTAGGATTAGGTGAAATTAACAGGTTTAAAAGTGAAACATATTTCGTTAGAGAAGTCAAAATATTGTTTCAAATAACATTTCTCTGCACAAAATTTGTGTTTATTCACAAAGCGTCACTTCTTGGATTTAATATTTAAATGACTTGGTAGCCAATAAACAATCCTAACATAAAATTTGTATTAGAAGAAAGATTTAAATCGTCTTTTGTGCTGCGATTTATAAAGTTAGTATAAGTATTTAACCTGTGTATATGGATTTTTTATATTGCAATACCCAAACCAGCTGATAACTCTTCGTTATTATTGTCATTAATATAGTTGTGTTTTTGAATATCTTCGTTTTTGATTTACTTTATTTGTACTATTTATTTGATCTTATTTGTTGCATAGATGAGACACAAAATCAACATTTTCTACATTCTAAAACATCTGTTACATTTCGATACACCAAAAACATGTTACGTTCTGGAAACGTATTTCAGAGCAAGATTTCTTCCGACAATATACGGAGAAGAAAAGACGGAGGAGACCTTAACCTCGAAGGGTGTATGCCAAGTTTGTCTGAGATCGTCCAAAAATGTAAGTGTAAAAAGTGGACACACACACACACATGACAATTCTGATTTATAGATGTTCTCTTTGAAAGTTTAATCTTCTTAATCTTTCTATGAACACTTATAGTAACTATATAATATCAGAAATATGTCTATTTTGCTACACTATACACCATGTTTACTGACCATGGAATGACACGTTTTAGTTTATCATGAGTGAATACTTAATGCTTCTAAAAAATACAGTAATTTTTCATGCTCAGTAACTGTAGCAACAATAATTATTATTATCTCAAAGCAGCGCACAATCGACTAGATGAACACCAAGAGCAGCAAATCCATATGTATTTGTTATACTGTATACCTAACAACATACTTAAATCACTAAAGTAATTAAATACACTCAGTAATAAAATTTATAGAAGACTCCTTCAAACAAATGCTTTCAATCAGCTGTGAATCATTTGTATACATTGGTTCGAAAGTTTGATAAACGCATACAAATCAACAAATCTCGCCAACAAATTTACTTGTTTCTTTGTAGAATTTCGCTGGCTATCTATAATGTGACCCCCAATTCCTTACCAACAAATAGTGGAATCGATCATAACATTATAACGCCCTCACGGTTGTAAGGATAGCATGTTCAGTGATGAGATTACGAGTCGAACGTCCCAACCATCAGGCCATGCCAGGCCAAATTGCTGAAAGCTTTCAATGTTTAATAATTTCTTAATTTTCTACTCCTTTAAAAGATAGTAGTTCTTTATATGTGTGGTATTTTTATAACCCTGTGCAACAATGATGAACCATACGTTATATAATCATATAAGAAATGAATTTGCTTTTATATATATATATTAGATTCATAATCTAAGCTCATAAAGATAATTGTGGAAAATATATGGTAACTGTCTCTTTTGTCTATATAAACTTGTTTTGTATATTTTCCTACCTTATTAACAGAGATAACATTGTGCCAGTTTAAGCAGGTTCATTAACACATGAAATAAACCAACCAATCAAAACAGTTTCAATGCTTGTTTAATTGTTTTCTCTTTGATATTTTACCAGTGTGTAAATTGAAAAATAAATAAATATAAATTATCAAGCAGTTAGAATCGCTTGCTCTATGTTTATTGTTTGTTATGGATTTCGCGCTAGCCGTCCCTAATTTAGCAGCGGGAAGGCAGCTAGTCATCACCACCCACCGCCAACTCTTGGCCTACTATTTTAACAACGAATAGTGTGATTGACCGTCACATTATAACGCTCCCAAGGTTGAAAGGGTGAACATATTTGGTGCGACGGGGTTTCGAACCCGCGACCCACAGATTGTGAGTCGAGAGCCCATGCCGGGCCATATATTTACTGAAATACTCAACTGATAAATATTTTGAAGTTATATTCTTATAGAGTTAATAACATAGAAAATATTTTTAGCGCGATTTTTGAGAATTACTTAATGAACTATTTTACCTGATTTTAATAAATTAATCAGGATCAAAAATAACTGAATCATAAAGCAAGAACTCTTATGACCTAAGCACGCTCGGAAAGTAGGCTTTTAAAATGAATTACATCTATGAGAAAAATATTTCGTCACTTAGAAAATACAAAACTATGTTTATTGTAGCATTAGATAGTGAGAGCTTGTTTATTAATATCAATACTTAGACCGTTTTCCATTTTTTCGTTGAAATGCGAAGCAAAATTAATTTATTTTTAATTTAAATGTTAAAATTTATATTTATTTTGTATAAAAATGTCAGTGAAGTAAGATTAATGGCAGTACTTATAGCATTTGTACAAAGTTTTAGTTATTATATATATAATGTGAGGTTCAAATACGAAATTGAGGATTCTTGCTGCAACATAAAAAACAGGGATTATTTCGTTTTCCAAACAATACTTCCAATCACACAATGATTTAATACTCTGAAATGTTATTATTGCTTTTAAATCCATCATAAATGATACTCTGAAGATATACTTTGAAGTTTAATCAATAAACAACGAAATTGTGTTTTAGATCCATAATCATTACTAGTTCAGCAAAACAATTATTTTACACTAATACTCTTTGAAGATTATCATTTGTTTCTCGACTGTCAAGCTTGATATTTCAACGTTATTTTTTCAAACTTTTATCTCTGACAGGCTGTTCCTGGAGTTACTTTGAATTCAAACAGTTCGTATCAGCTGGATAGATAAAGTAGTGCCAGAGAGTCTCGAGATCCTTAGGTTATCTTGCTCTTTGATAACGCAATACTTCAACAGCAACATTTTTCGCAAAGGCAGTCAAGCACGGCCAAGAGTGCTTGAGAAATTACCATTTGTGTTAAAATTTGTTTTGCAGGGAACACATTTCTTGTTACGCGTTTTAAGATTTTGTATAAAGACTTTGAACGGGAATCCATGGGAGCGACGCCTCGGTGAACACAAACAACTCTTATTAAAAAAACAAAAAAAACAAAAAAAACGCAACTCATGCATTTTGATTATTAAGAGATTTTAGCTTGTAGTTACAATGACGTAATGCCGGTTTGTATAAATGCCAACCACTCCGCCAGCTCGGAATGAGTCAGTTTTTCCTATTACGGTATTAGAATGAAGAGTATTTGATAAACATAATCAGAGCGCACCTCTATTGTTTGAAAGTTAAAGATTACGTTGGTCTTCTCACGTGATAGTCAGCATATTAAGTCTTACCGTCAGGACCTTACCCGAGTCGTAACGTTAAGCCTAGTTTCTTTTAGGTTTAAATTAGTTCATACCCCAGCAAACATTATAAGGTATGTTTTTATTGAGTTTTTGTTATACCTTATAATTATTTAATTAAAGTATTGATTTACTTTATCTTTTACGTGATAGTCAGCACATTAAGTGTTATTGTTAGGACATTACCCGTGTCGTAACGTTAAGCCTAGTTTCTTTTAGGTTTAAATTAGTATATACCCCAGCAAACATTATAAGGTATGTTTTTATTGAGTTTTTCTTATACCTTATAATTATTGAATTAAAGTATTGATTTACTTTATCTTTTAGATATTGAGTTTGTATACTTACATTTACAAAGAATATATATATGTAAAGTTTGAATGGGTAGTGAAAGAAACTTTCTTACAAATGTACAACGTTTCGACAAACTTTTGTTATCATCAGGAACATTTGTAATAAAGTTTCTTTCACTACCCACTCAATCTGTCTCTAGACTTTATTTTCTAAAGAGGGTTTCTCGTCATCAGATATATATTGTTACGTCTCCGTTCGTTAGTTAATTTTCCGTAAATTCGTTCCGACGAAATTTTAGCGACACAAGTCCTTTCTTAAATAAAACTGGTTTATTCTTTCTGAATATAACTTTGCGATACACTTAATTTCTACAGTCGCGCTATAATTCTCAACGAACGTCTCACGTGCTCGTGCTCGACAATACTCAGTTCAATTACACACTGTCTGACTGCAGTTCAATTACTCATTTCCTTCCCATCGCTTCGTGGCCGGTCTTATATATACAAGACTACACTATATCTAGAAAGATC